CTAAATATCATTCAGCTCAGTAAAGAGATTTTTCCATTGACAAAATAGTTGAGGAAAATGGAGAAACAAATTTGGCCGTATACGTTTTGGAAATGAAAATATTCCAGCCCTGTATCTTTTTTTCACTTATATGGTTAACTTTATCCACATTTTCAGTTTGGTTTAGTTGACTTTGGTCTATAATTTATTATATTATTTGAATAATGCTTTTTTTCTCTTTTTTAAACTAGATAATTTCCTCCTAGTATTTCATATTCAACTTTTTTTGTTCATTGCATAATTTTAGAAGTTTTCTTTTCTTTTCTTTTAAATTTAGTCTCTTTATACAGATTGCTCTTCACTTTTGTTGCATATAGTTACACTTCACTTCCTATGAGGGTTTGCATAATTTTTTGCTACAAGTTGTTATCATTCTTCTCATTTCTAACTTCATCATATTTTCCTTATTATTAAAGACTTTATACATTTGTATATGATAAACTAAAAATAAAATTGTTTAAATTCTTCTTTAAGTTATTTTAAGTTTGTATTGGTTGAAAACCAATTCTTTGGGCTGTACAGATAACAATTTTCCCTTTTCCCATGCTTTAGTCTGGCTCTTCATTTTATATACTTTACACGGAAGTTACCATTTAACCTTTTAAACAGTTGAACCTCATTCTTTTTTTTTTTTTCTCATCTTTGAAATAACAGATATTGAGGTGCACCTACCTAACTTCATTCACTGGAGATAATTGCTCACAATTACAGGATTAATTAGGGGAAATCAGAACACAGTATAACTAGATAATACATATTTTTCTATGTGTATATGTGATATAGATACATTTATTATGTACATAAATATTTATTAGGCTTATATTTATTTTTAATTATCTGAATCCACAATTCCAATTACTTAAAATGAAACTAGCTGAATTAATATTCTTAGAATTGAATGGAAGAATAGGGAGTTTAAATGAAGCTGTAAAAATTAGTTTTATTCACTCTGAAAACATACATTTAACATCAACTATATGTCAAAATCATATTATTATAAGTATATAAAAACATTTTTAGTATATTCTTGACTATGAGAGGAGAAGGATATGTTTGCAAGGGTATGGTTATAGTGGCTTGGAATTTAAAGAGATATTTTTATGAATCTAGTCAAGTGAGAGATTTCTTGTTTCCAAGCTTCTCCTTTTAATTCTCAGTTTTCTAATCAGTTTTAAAAATTATGACACTGATTAATATAACATGATAGGAAAAAAACCATGTTCTGATTATACACATCTCTATAACTGTTTGGGAGAGAAAATACTCTTTTTTATGCTGTTGATATATGGGTGGGAGTGAAGAGAATGAGGACAGTTTTCCTCCTCCAACATGAATCAGTTGACAGCCTATCGTAGAGGTTTATTCAACTTAAGTCTTGATTCTCTACGCCAGAGTGTTGACTGAGTGCTTTCTTGTGTTCCAATCTCTTCTATGTGGAAGGTTAATATTTATTACTTCTCATTAAGTGTTGATGTAGACAACCCTTTGACTGAAGTCATCTGATGTGTTTTCTAACTGTTCCTTCAAGGAAACTGTTCACTGACTCTAAGTGTGGCATCTGATATGAGCATCACATTTATTCTTATCAGTCTTTTATCATTATTACCCAAGCTAATGATGATCTTCACTTGGCATGTGGAAGCATGTGGTAATAATGCCCACTAGAGAGCAGTGTAGTGCGGGTAGAGATGGATAACCTTTGTCAGGCCTCTGCCCCCTTTCATAATGAAGTAGGAAAAAAAAAAGATTTATATCCCTAGCCCCTGATGATTTTTGTGGGTCCTTGTGTTTCAGTAGCTTCTCCCACTCCCATATCAGGCCTTATGTTTTATTTGTCTTACGTGGGAAACCATAGATAATAATTAGCAGAGACACATGGGTATTACTTCAGTAAAGTACATCACAACTAACACTAGAAGTATCCTTCCTCCAGTATGTCATTTGAATTTTAAAAGTCACCATTATTTTATCAAACCATGTCAATTTATGAAGCACCTGACTTTCTCTCTATTGGCTTTCTGTTTATCTGAAGCTTTAAAATCAGTGGTTGATATATTTTGCATTAAGGTAAGCAACTGACTCGCTCAAAAAGCAGCTACAAAAATCAAATAGATTGATTAGCTGTGTCCAGTAAGCATTGCCTGTGTTGACCATTAATTTATTTTTATCTCAATTTCTCAAGAGAAACTCAATGTTCCTTCATATTCCAGCCTCTCTTCAAAGAATGTTTATGACATACTTAAATTTACTGACCGGTAGGCAGTTTAGAAATTGTCTACATCTGGACTTCTTATAAGCTTGGCAGCAGTGGTTCATTTTTGAATGAGAGCTGATTTCACTAAAGGTCATTTGGGCTGTCAAATGAAGACCATAAGCACTGACATTAGTGTCAGTATATCTTTGTTAACCTGATAACACAGCTGTCTAAGACCCCTTCCTAACCTGAGAAATCCATCCATGATCCAACAGGCTTCAGGAGTGCCAAGGTCGACTGGAAAACAAACAGAGCTAGTACTGTTGAAAAGAGACCAAGTTTAGACGTCCACATTAAGGAATGGCAAGGACACATATTACATGATTCAAGATGGCTTTAAGAGATTGAGAGAGAGCCAGCTGGCTAACCAAGCTCAGATGTAGTCCCTTGACAAGGTTACATAAGCAGAGACAGTTCACAATTTTACTGATTATTCTAAGAGAACTCTTTATTATGGAAATAATATTAGTATTATTGAGACTTACTTTTTGTTGGTGTTTACCAAGCAGTCCAGGGACAAGTTCACTTCTCCACTGGGAAGAAACTGTTGGGCTATTTAGTTTATAATCTCACTGAGGTTGTACTGTTGTTTACTTTTGTTTCTTTTGTTGTTTTAAGATAAAAAAAAAACATTTAATGCCTTTCTGAAGGCAGAGAAGAATCCTATGGCTTGATTGAAGTAATTTCTTAGGAGTAAAAATTCAAATACTCATGGAAGGCCTTAGGATGTGTTTCAGAGTTGACATTTTAGGCCTGTGAGGGAAGACCCAAAATCATCTTCGTTGGACAGCTCTTCTATTTGAATGATACACAAGGAGCCTGATATTCCTACTTCCCCAAGAAATGATGAAGACCATTAAATAATGTGTTCAAAATGTTAGATGTTTAATTATATTAGCCATAGTGTGTACATTTGCTTTTCTCCTACCATTACAGTGCTCAGTATCAGTGTCTTGAATGATCTAATAATGTTTATGAAATTTTCTGAAGAGACAGTATTTCTCTGGATTCCATCCATAGGTTAAGAAATCCAAATTACTTTGTAACATTTCACAGAATGTTTCTAACAAACTCTACTGTGTAAAAGTTCCATGTGTCCTTTGGTCTTATTCAGAAAATTTGTAGTGAACGGCCAATAGGTTCCAGATTTTTTATAAATGCTAGAGATAACATCAGCAGAAGTAGAAAAATACACCAGAGAAATAAATAAGATATATACAATGTATGGTAGTGATAAGTGAAAAATAAACTCGGGAAGGTGTACCGAGAGTGTAGGGGCTTGTAGTTTTTTACAAGATAAAGTGGTAAGAGAAGTCCTCACCAGAACGGTGACATCCAAATAACACCCAAAAGGAGGTCAGCATGTCAAGTCAGCCATTCTGAAATATGATGATTATTCTAGGAAGAAGGAAGAGCCTCTGAGATGGCAGCTTACTTGGCTTGTTCACAGAACAAGAAGACGACCAGTATGTGTGCAGCAAGATAAACAAGGGTGGGAGTAGTAAGGAGATGAAGGAAGCGAGGTCAAAGAGTAATGAGAATACACATCAGATAGGGCTTTATAAACCATTTTAAAGGCTTTGAATTCCCTCTGATTGAAATGGGAACCCTTTGAGGAACTGGGCAGAAGACTTGCTTGATCTGCCTTAACATTTTAAGGATATGACTGGCTATTGTGTTGCCATAGACTCAGGAAGAGGAGGGCATAGATGGAGACAGAGAAACCAGTTGGAAGGCAGTTGTAATGATCTGGTTGAGACGTGATGACAGCTTGGGGCAGGATGGTAGTAGGAGTCACTGATGTGTTTGACATCAGAATCAAAGAGATTTGTTGACACGATGGATGTAAGGCAGCAAAAAGGAGAAGTTGGAGGTTTCCAAATTTTCCCTATTCCCTAATTAGCACGAAAGCTACTCTGAATATGATTATAGAGCTAAACTCTTTCAACACTAATTTTACATGGGCTTTTACTGTTAACTTTATATGTTAAAGGTGTTGTGATTCCGGTCAATTAGTATGTATTTACCAAAAACTCACCAATCCTAGCACAAGTAAAGATGCATTGTTCCAACAAGTGGTAGTAAACAAGTTTTTTACCTCGAGAATCTTACTTTCCTGACTGTAGAGAAGAAATGTGAAAGGAACCGGTTCAGTGACCATGATCTAGTCACTAAGGAAATGTGTGATTGTTTGGCTCCAGGGGTCAGTCAGGGAGCCAATGAGCCTGAGGTCACAGGTGCTCTTTGTGTGAGGCTGTGAGCTTTGCATGTTCCACTCCAGAGAATCTATTTCTGACCTCATACATCCACTTCAAAAAAGTGTGCCCTTGCTCACAAGGGAAGTCTATAACACTGTATGGAGAGGTCAATCCAGATCCATCATCATTGCTAGAAAAACAACTCACAGCATTTCTTTTATTTACCAACAGTGAAAGCAAATAGCATTGTCCTCATATTTAGACAACACATTATGACTAAGGAAATCAAGAATAGAAATGCTCAGTGGACTATGTTGTCCTTAAAAAAAATGAACTGATATAGTTACTGAAGCATATCCAGGTTACTAAAAAATACTTTTGGCAAGGAATTTTTAAAATTGTAAAGATGCATTAAAAATATAGGATAACTTTTAATAAGTAATGCCAAATTATTTTTTAAAAAGTGACTCATTTACTGAACTCACTTTCCTCTTTCTGTTTTATTCCAGAACCTACAGATAGGCCTCCTTTGCTGTTAATTGCAAATTCTGAAACAATTGAGGTTTTCTATCTTAATGGAAGTAAAATGGCAACCCTGAGCTCAGTCAATGGAAACGAAATTCATACTCTGGATTTTATTTACAATGAAGATATTATTTGTTGGATTGAATCGAGAGAATCTTCAAATCAGCTCAAATGTATCCAGATAACAAAAACAGGAAGATTAACAGATGAATGGACAATCAGTATTCTTCAATACTTTCACAGTGAGTTTCAATTTATATTATATGCCACCCTTTAAGGATTTCATTTGCAGACCAGTAGACAGGATCCTTAGATTTTCTAGCATAGCTAATGGCTTTTGGAAAGCTATATATGCAAGTATGAATGCACTTAAATAAGTATATTCCCTACGTGTTTTGCATATACACACATATACACAAGAATTGCACTGTTTATGTAAGCAGTACATTGAAGGGTTAATTTTAATTCTTTCTTTAATGCTTATTGCAGTATCACCTGGATGAGAACTGTGATTTTTCACTGAATGATAGTTCACAATGTGATAGTGAAGGTAGGATTAAAAAACAACAACCACAACCAAAAACAAGAAACAGATTTGATAATTATAAGCTCTTCAACTGTAGTGTTCGTTAAAATACCTTGAAAACTATTAGTTTTATGCTAATTGGTAACAACTACCCGTGTTTGTTGACTTTTTTCCTAGTAAATCAGAGTTTTTATATATCTTCTTCCTAAAGAGTAATTTGTAATTTGTGATTCACTTGATTTCTCATGTCGGAAATTCACAAACTATTAACTGTCTTTCTCTTTCTGTATATCACATTGTCACATGCACATACATTCCTCCCCTCACTATTCTGCTCTCTACCCCTCCCACATGAGAGTATAAAAATTTATTTGTGCTTGCCTGGGGAAACAGTATGCATGAGAATTTCAAGATGTATTCATTTATTTTATGATTTATAGAAAAAACTTATTCTTACAAATGCTACCAATATAAAACTTGGTAGAGAAATGAAGGAAATGTACAATCAAGTTAAGAAGAAAAAAAGAGTGCTGTGATAGAATAAATTTAGTTTTCAGATGTTGAATGTTTGGTGATTTGAATTCAGTAATCATATTTTATTGATGTTTGTGATGTACAGTTTCAGGGACTGGTTATTGATCCTTATTAAATGTAAGAAAATAGTACTATGTAATGTTTGAAAATTATGATTAGATTGAATAAAAACAGTGGCAAAGATTGTAAGAAAAATGGAATATGAAGTGAACAGAAGTAAATGTTTAACAAATAGAATCCAACATTTTGAAGATTTTCTTAACATAATTAAAATAATTGATAAGGTCATTTATTGTGACAGTGGACCAAAAATGCCTAGTGAAAACAGTGGACACTGTCTATTTCAAGGATTCCATGGAGAAATGATAATTCATAATAAACAGTAAATAACTATTGGTAGTAGCACAAGGAATGTTTCTGTGTGATTTGAGTATTTCAGACATTGGCTCAGCCAGCAGTTGAAAATCATTTGAACAAAAGACTCTGGTTTCTGCCATGTTAGTGATTACCTTAACTAATCCAAATGTATTTCTCCCTAGCAAATGGAATACTGGCAGTCAGATTGCTAGAATATTCACTAGGTCACCAGGTAAAATTATTTTCCAAGGTTACTTTTTTTATACATTTAATATGGCCTAATAATAGTAGTAATCCTTTCTTTAATATGTATTTTTAAACAACTTTAATAGTACATCTCAGGTTGGTTAAGCAACTCTACATTAGAATATTTGTAGAAAATAATTCAGAACTTAGATTTCATGTGATTTATAAACAATTCTTGGCAAATCTAGAAAAATAGAGATTGATTTTGTTAGGTAGTTCACTAAAATGATGAACAGACATTCATTTTGAACTATACAAAATTAATGCAATGGAAACATCTTAATTAGAATAAATAGTTGTTAATGAAGTCGGATTTAAGCCATGCAATTCCAGTCACTTTAGAAAGAAGTGATTAAATGTGTGGAAGTAATACAGTGATGGGAGTGGGACAGAGGTGTGAGCTGGGCTGGGCTCCTCTATCGTTGCTTGTAAGCCATGTATTTTATCAACATGTCACAGGACAGCTTCCAATGGACTCTGCATTCACCATGACAATTTGTGAGTTGATAATGAATTTTGAATAGTCTTTGCATATGTAATTACTTAAAATCTCTGTTGTACCACATAAGCAAAAATAATGAACTGATGGGAGTATGCCTGAATACCTGTCACTAGCCACTATTCCAGAGATTATCTCTTTAGGTTTTCCTCCCTCATTACCTTTAGATACTTTTCTCTGAATTTACCTGAAGAAAACATTCTTTTTTGGAAAAAAATAAAACTTTTATTTTTCAAAGTATTACTATGAGGAGAATCATTACAGGTCAAACCGACTTGAATTTAAATTTTACATAATATTTTAGTAAACATCTTATTGCAATATTAAAATTTTTACGGCATATCTCATCTCACTGGATACCCACCACATCTCTGTGGAGTATGCAGGAGAGATACTCTTCCCATTTTATAATAGACACAATTTTAACTACAGAACTAAGATGTGTTAGGCAATATTGAATGGCTAAAAAGAAGGCAGAGATAGGACATCTAAATCCTATGTTCTTTCTTCTACATTAACAAAGGCAAATACAGGTCCCTTCAAAGAATTTCCCAAGTCTAGCACAAATAATCACATCTACAACTTATTAAATGTGCTAAAAGACTACATGCAATAGGGAGGCATTATTAGTCCCCTTATGCTGAAGGGAAAAATCGAGACTCTGAATTTGGGCCAGACTTCCTAGCCTTCGCTACACCGCACTGCCCCAGGGGTCTCAACTTGTTTTTCATTTCAGACAGCCAAAACAATCAGGTACACTAACAGTAGTAACAGTGGCTCACAAAGACAGTGTCTACATGGGAGAGAGGTATAAGGATCTTGGAAGGGGGTGGACAAGATGAGTTGTACCAAGGCCATGTCATTTGAAAAGGCCCAACACATGATTCTGATATGGCCACCTAGGGAGGCCTACCTTTAATACTGAGAATCATGTCTAAGCAATATTGTGAGAGAATGAGGAAGACTGATAATAATGTGCTCAGTAAACTATATTGACAAAAGGAACACTGGGGAAAATGCTAGAGATTATATTTTGAATTGAATTCATTCTTCTTTATAAAGATACTTGACATTTATTAGCTAGTATTTTTGCCTGAAAGTTACAAGATACTAGATTTTGAAGAAAATTTTGGAATTAAATGTTTTGTAAGTAAAATTTGTTCTCCAGGGATTCACGTAAAGTACATTTACGACAACTAATTATTTCTCCCAAGTTTTCCTTAGGGAATACTGTGGTAGGAACACAGATACCTAAAATCAGCAAAAATGATGGGATTCCTAACAGTAGTGATGCTCAGCTATTTTCCTCAGGACAAAGTGCACAAAGATGATTGAGACAGATAAGATTATTTTCTGGGTGTATCCCTTATTAAGGAAGATGATTCAGGACCAATTGTTCTCTTCCAGGTATATAGTAGATACTTTCATTCGGTTTTTATGTATATTCAGTATTCTGCAAAATTTGAGTATCACTATTAGGATTCTAATTTAGACTTAACCAGCTTGTCTTCATCCATTCATGGGCTCAGCTACAGTCTAGCATAGCGTGCCAGGCCAAAAACTATAAAGGATTGCTTATTCTTTACACACTTTGCTTCTGAATTATCCCCATTCACTGGCTTTTATCTTTCTTTTATTTGGTCTGTTTCGATATCAGCTTAACTCATTTTCCATTTGAACCTCTGCCTTGATCCTTGATTGGATAATTTTTGGATTCACTTTACCCATGTCTTTTCTCAACCCTACTTCTTTCTCTTGAGTTAGCAATTCTCTAATAATCATATAATATTAATAGATGACATTTACTGAATGTTTATTTTGTGCATTAATAATTATACACATATACCTATCACAAAAATTGTATATGTATACTGTATAAAATAGTTTATAGATAAGACAATGAGCTTAAATAAATGTAATACTTTTTTAATTTAAAGGAAACCTTGACCTCTTAATCTCAATAGATACTGAGTAATGGCCTTTCTTAATTGTGCAGTATTCCCTATTTGCTTCTACCCAGCCTAGGAATTTCATAGCCTTCAGTGCTTCACAAGCATCCTCCATCAAGTTATGACTGGACAAAAATGACCAGGCTGTGTCCCTACTGTAAATACAAGCATAGCAGGCATAGTCTTGGGACAAAATAACCAACTTATAAGAGTAGAAATGCTAGATTCAAATAGTGTCAGCTCACAGTGAGTTTGCACTTTACAAGATGATCATGGAACTTTGCAGCAACATCCTAAGATTACACAGTATCACAGAATGGTATAATCATCATAGAAACTTGGCATGCAATATTTAAGCATGTGACTTGTAAATAAAGTATTTTTATGACCTTTCCTCTGCAATTATCTTTCTCCATCTGATTGGAGAAAAGTCATTCACATTGTTTTAATTTGCCTTTATATGATTACTAGTGAAGTTGTCCACTCCATTGTGGACTTATATGTTCACGTCAATCTTGACAAATCTGCTTGAGTGATCATAATGCTCCATTGCTTAAAGTTAAAATACAAAATATTCAGGGGCTTCCCATTTATCTAAGGAAAAAATGAAACTTCATTTTACGGCTTCTCTGCCTCTACCTTGCCTCTCCCCACTCAAATCACATGTTCCACCTAAAAAAAAAAATACTAGCACTTCCTTTAATGCACTTTGTTTTCTCATTTCCATGTGCGTTTGTATATGCTGGTTCTTCACCATAGGCCATAGTTGTCATTTCCTATAATCAAGTGTCTCTTACTCATGTTTTAAGGTATAATATCCTTTCCAAAAGTTTTTCTTTTGAGCTTAGCAGCCCTTCCTATGTGATCCTGGGACATCATAGTACAAATGCATTATATTTTATTTGTGTGTTTACCTGTCAGATTACCAAATAAAGGGTAACTACTTTAAGTTTAGGATGTGTGTTTTATTCACCTTTGAATCAGATTTCAGCCAAACGCCTGTCTGTTCTAGAATAAACGTAGGTAACAAGTAAAGGATAAGGGTGGAGAATTAGACGGGAGAAGGGTAAGACCAACTTCTGGAGAGACCATGCCAAATCACTACTAGAGACATGGGGAAAACCAGTCTGC